GGTGGCAGTTTTATAAAAGTCTTAAAACTGACCACAAAGATAGCAAAATAGATGCTGAGCTGCTGCCCTGCACCATTTGCCCCTGCGTATCTGACACAGAAATTACCTGGCACGTGGCTTGCCCCAGTGCGAGGTGAGTCCATCTGAAGACTGTTTCAAATTAGTTGCCCTAATGTCCCAGGGAGATGTATTTCTGCATATTTCCTGCAGAGCCTCTCATTATAAGATATGCTAGTTTCATTCAGAGAATACCGTGCGATCTCAGATTCCTCACAGCTCTGTCGTTTCAGAAAGCATCTAATTTTGCTTCGAGTTAAAACTGTTACAGAACTATCAAGGGGGTGGGGAGATGGTTCCAAGAAATAAAGACCTAGCTGTGCAAGCATGAAGATCAGAGTTCAGATGCTCCAGATCCAGGCAAATGCAATTCCCATGGCAATACGCCTCTCCCCAGGTCACCAAGAGCAAGAGAGAGCAGAGGGACCTACTGTCTCAGAGAGCACAGTTTTCCCACAGATTAAATGCCTTTACCTGGGGTATGTGAACAAATATCTCTTCACCCCCAAACTGGGCCCCAACAACAGACAAAAGAAGCAATTCCACCCAAGCCCAGCTTGGTGAAGCAATGAGTTTACTCCTGTTTCTTACAGGAGTGTGGGTGACCAAAAAGTAGCTTTCTGACTGAAAAGTTCACCCAGGCACAGATGAGGCTGAATCCCTGGCGCTCCATCACTTCTTGCAGCCAGCTCCACCCAAGGGTTCCCCTGTCCAGCAGTTGCTTCCTGCTTATGTAACCTTGGGCAGAGGCCTATGAATCTTGTAGCTTCTTTGTGTCCCGAGAGGATGCTTCCCTTTGAAGGAAGTAGTTATGCAATCCTAGGCCATCCCTCCAGCCTCCTGACCCTTGCTCAGGTCACACTGAGTAGTGCAGATCTGTCCTCCCAGACAGGCAGAGTCAAATCCCTCTAACGCTTGTGTTTCTGGGTTCCATCTCTGTCTTCTTGGCAAGTGAATAACTTTCTCCAGTCTTCTTTTGTGCATTGCAAAGAGCCTAGGGACACATATGCAAATCGAGTCTCAGCATCAACCTGAGAACCTGAGGGGAAGTGTGTCTCAGACTTTCCCAATCTCTGAATCATTGATGTGTCTGCTGGGTAGTTTCGTGCATTAGAAACTGTCCCATGCTTCAAAGAAGGTCAGCTGCACCTTGGTTTTGCCTTCTAGAAGCCCATAGTACCTTCTGTACCGCCTGTGACAATAGAAAAATGTCTTCAGAGTTTGCCAACTGGTCCCTGGAGGCAAAGTCTTTCCAGAATAGGTGAGCCGTTTGGTAACCTGAACTGAGCTAGCAGCTGTGTTGCCTTCCAGACAGAAGATTAAATTGCTTTTCAGCACAGGACTGACCCTGCTGTAGGTTCCTGTTGTCTCACACTCCTCCTGTAGCCCAGGGGTGTTTCCTGAGCGTACACCCAACCCTACCAGGCACAGTGGAGGAGCAAGGGAACTCCAAGATGTGCTTCCTATCCCCAGAAGCTCATAGTTACTCTGGGGAGACAGGACTGAGCTCTTCAGCAGAAGTAATCGAGACAGCCATGAGTCTTGTTATGTTGAAGGTGAAGGCCTCCCCAGAGCAAAGGAGCAGTGGACCAGCAGGGGAAGGGATCAGAAGCAACCAAGTCTAGAGAAGAGGACCGAGGAGACAAGGCTGAGTCAGCCAGGGATCAGGCAGCTGGTGCTGTGGACATCTTCAGGGGTTGGCACTGTAGAGGCAGGACTGAGCTGAGAAATGAAGGGCAGGTGGGCACTGTCAATGGGATTGGTGAGGGCAAAAGCTTAAAGGCTGGACAGGTAGCCTGAGGTGGGAACTGTGCAGGGGTGCAAGGGGAAGCTCTCTGAGTCATACAGAGGGGCTGAGACGATTGTGCTGGGAGTCTGAAAGGGCTGAGTAAAGTAGAGGAGACAGCAGGGGTGAGGCATTCCTAGGGCTCATAACCTCCCTGTCACAAATGCAGCAACCTTCTAGGACAAATCATTCCTGTGCTAAGAGCTGCAGGATCTTCTGAACCCTTCGCCTGCCTCCTGGGAGCTGTCACAGGGAGCTATGACTCAGGGCCTCTCCTGCCCAGGTGAGTCACACATCTGTAATTTTGTTGCAGTAAGAAAGGCTGCCTGAACTGTCACCTGTGACCGGCTCAGTCCCCTCAGAGCACCAGGCTCCAGCCCTGTGTCCTGGGATACCTGATCATACTGGAGCATTACTCCTTGCTCCCCTGGGTGCTTCACACGGTACCAATGTGCCTCCTCTACATGACATCTTAACATGTCACATGACCTGTTAGATTTTTCTGAACAATCTCAGTTTCATCTGTTTCAGAGATGTGACATGGTTTCATGTCTCTCTTCTTCCTCTTTCCACTTGCTCTCAAGAGCTACCATAGTAGTGATTTCCCCAGGGGAGCAGTATGAAACAGCCACCTCCTCAGGACTGGCGTCTATGAGTGACTCACAGTTGACCGAGAAGCAGGTGGTAAGATGTGATCTCCTAACTGCCAGCAACCTAATACTGTTGTTCAGGGACGGGCAGTTCATCACCTCTTTCCTGATATTTTGTAGGCCATGCTAATATTCATTTGGGAGGCCTGGGTTGACCAGTAGTCCCTGCCTATAGGTTCTGTGTAACAAGACAAAGACTACCCTTAGTATCACACCTGGGTAAAAGGAGTGCAGGACAACTTCAAGCCAACCAAAAGGGCGGACCTATTAAGAATATTGGGGTTCTGAAGGCTGTGAAGTAGTGGGACAGTCTCCTGAGCCACACTGTCTAGTGAGCCAGGCAGTTCCAGGAGTGTCCTGCACTGATCTAGACTGTTGGTCCTTGACACTGTCTGACAAGTGCTGCTTACCTCAAGCCTACACTTGGCTGTGCTCTAGGAGGAAGCATGTCAGAGCTCTGGAAAATCAACTTCTCTTACAAGTCAGGATGGACAGGGCAGGTAATGCCACCATTGCCACTGGCAAGGGATTGAAAGCCCAACTCCATGGTCAGGGCCTCCACAGATGCCCAGAAACTCGTATCCTATGTACAAGGACCGCAGCACCCACACAGCTGTTACAGAGGCATACCACCCTGGTCTGAGAGTAATTTTCTAATTTGCAGTGGTGCCCATTCAGCCAACCCCAGTGAACACAAGAGCCTAGACTTGTCACAGATGCCAAGCTTGCCACCAGCTCTCTCGATGTCTTCATGCCCATTCCTGAGAGCAGACGTGGGCATCACAGACCTCTTAGATGCATCAGTTTACTCTGGGTCTCATTCAGTACCATCTACAGGTTGAAGAGTCCTGGGACCAAGGACTGTGTCCTGGGGAGCCTCTAACCCCTCCCATACTACTGGTCCTGAGTCTCACACTTGGAGCCTGGAAAGCCCTGTCTAGACAGACAGACAGAACCCCAGACAATGCCTACAGCAGAAGGGATCACAGAACGTGCACCTCTAGCCTGTGCCCCTCATGGCACCCACTCTATCTTTCTCATATCCTCAGTCATGGAATGATAGGATGCATCCAGGAGGACCTGACAAAGCTTGAATGTCCAGGCTGTGTGTCCTTTTCTATGACAATGCAGGAGAAAATGGGAAGGGTGATCAAGAACATACTTTGTCCTCTCTGCCTCAGGCTCCTTGAGTGACAGACAGTCTAAACCCCCATCTAGAGAGATAAGCAACTTTTTCTGGTCACCAATGATAACCAGTAATAGTGTTGTGTTGAGAACAGAGGACACAATATTACTGAGGGTTAAGAAGTAATTTAAAGGACAGCTTTGCCCTGGTTCTTTCCTTAGGACTTGAAAGAAATCCCATGCCCTTTGTGTGTGCTTCCCAAGCCCTGTCCATCAGGCAAAGACTACTGGCTCTGTCTTACCCTCCTGAGGACCCATTACAGCTGTCTCCTCCTGCTCACATACCTTCCCCTACTTCATCTCAGATGGCACCCAGAGGTGGCCTTCCTAAATCCTGCGATCTCAATACACATTGGCAACTGCCCTGTTGTTGTGACCAGATGTGAGCTCTAGAGAGAAGAGAGGTATTTTTCTTACTGGTCATCCTCTCTTTACCCTCCCCACCTTCCTCAGTTCCTTGTCCCTTGGGTGTCTGTGCTCTGCTGGCACTCCTTGTCCCTGTCCAGTCCTTTCTCAGATCGTAACCTTTTAACTCCCATGAAGCTGATGACAGTGCACAGCCAGGTGGGAGCCAGGAGAGAGGAGCACAGCCAGGTCCCTGGAGCTCAGGGCTAGCACTGAGGAGCCTGGGAGAGACAGGCATGGTGAGGGCAGCCAAGAGCCCTGAGGAAAGCTATGAAGGATAGGAAGCAGGCATCAGGGCTGGAATATATGACTCAAATCACTACCCATGGGCTTCTATCTTTGCCTTCTCCAGAGCCCTATCTCCTTGGCCCAGCCTGCCTCTCCTTTCCAGTCATCTGGGTGTCCGCATTGCCCAAACTCAAATGTTCCACACTCCCTGGGTTGTTGCTCTTCTGCTTGGAGTATGCTTCTCTCCTTGGGTCCTTTTTAGAGAGGTTTCATGGATGTCACTACTTCCACTGGGCCTGCTCCGACACCCCATGACATTAGGAGCCTCTAGGGTTAGCCCATAGAATACACAGCGTTCTAATAACTTCATATTGCCCAACACCCATGAGCCAGTAGTTCCTTACCCACAGTGCCTAGCACCTGGCATCCAGTCAGTGTCCACTCAAGCCTGGATGAGTAGATGGATTCTTGGGCTCCCCATTAAATAGTGAGCAGAGGGGTGAGTGGGAAAATTGATGGTGGCAGCCAGCAGGGGTGGGGTTGTCGTGTCCAGATGTAGATTAAAAAAAGAGGAGGATGGGGTGACAGGAGCCCTGGCAGGTGTCCCTGCTGCCCCCTGCTTCTTTGCAGAGGCTTTTGTTACAGGAGAGCCCAGTTCCTAGGGTGACCATTCCTCTCGTTGCTCCTAGTATTTCTGCCTGTTGCTGGTCATCTTCCTTGTGGAGCTGGTGGCAGGGGTCCTGGCACATGTGTACTACCAGAGGGTGAGTACGAGGTCCTTTGGCTGAGTTTTCTGTTGGTACCATAGGAGGCTCTGTTTCCTGGGCTGGGGATCCATTGCACCCCAGTTTCCTGTCTCAGATCTGGTAGACCTCTCTGTTTCTGTGAGCACTACTGGGATTCACTAAGGAACCTGGGTGAGAGTTTCTCAGGGAGGACAGGCCATCCTTCTCCCCAGACCCCTCAGGGATCCCTGGGGAAGTCATCTGCTAAGACAGCCATTGAGAAGGGATTAGAAAGGGTCAAAGGGCAGACTGGCATCCTGTAAAGACTGGAGTAGGCCCTGCCTACCGGGATGGGTAAGAGACTCTCTCTCTTCCCATGCTTGTAGCTTCAGGTTCAGGATTTCATGAACAGGGAGACATAAGGATGGAATAGACAGTATGTCCTGATCAAGCAGGTCATTTCAAGCCAGTGTCCACACAGTTTCACAAGGTCACAAGTGCCCACAGGTACAATGGTGATCGTCACCTCTAGATATGTTCCCCTGATGAGGTATTGACCCTCATCTTGCAATCAGAGTTTAAATCCACAGCAAGTTAAAGGCAGCTCCTGCGAGACACAGCCTGAGCCGTGTCATCCTCAGCCCCACTGTCAGCTCTGCCCTTCCTGTCAGCTCACAACACCCCGTTCGAGTCATTTCAGTGTCCTGACACCAGCTGGTGGGGATTTGGAAACACCTAGGGGCTAGAGGAAGGTGGGGGATCTGCTGACACTCCATGCTCCCCTCCTCAGCTGAGTGACGAGCTGAAGCGGCACCTGAACAGCACCCTGACTGAGCACTACGGGCAGCCCAGGGCCGCAGAGATCACAGCCTCCGTGGACCGGCTGCAGCAAGACGTAAGCCACAGTCTATGCCATCTCCCAGTCTATGCCATCGACCTCAGGAAAACTTAGTCACCCTCTCTAAGCTTATGTTGCCATTTCCCTAACCTAAGCCGTATGGTGGAGAGGTGCAGTGATGGTCGTCACCTCTAGATATATCCCCTGACACCATGAAAGTACCCAATGAGTCCTGGCTTCTCCAATATACCTCTTCCACTCTGGCCAAACTCCACCCCTGCTGGCTTCTCGTTTGGGTCTCCTGGGACAGAAAGCTGCTCTCAGCTCCTCCTGACTACGGACTAATTTCATCCTTCCTCAGAAAGATGGGCACCAAGGTCCCAGTGTTCTAGACCAAGTCACTGTGGCTCAGAGCAAGAAAGAATTTTTTGATTGTGAGCCATTGGGCAGCACATGAGGGATATAGGAAAAGGCCTCGTTTCCAAGAAGACATAGCTGATGTCAGAGAAAATGACCAGGGGCATGTCCACACACATGGGTACACATGACATATGTGGTCATGTCCCATGTGCTTAGCCCAGTAGCTGGAAGAGGGCAGCCCACATTGTTGAACATCTATTGCGAGCAGTGTGCACCCTCTGGGTCCCACATATAAGGAGTTGTGTGAGGCAAAGGTTGGGCAGGAGCCTTGACTAGAAGGTCTTGTTCAGGGAGCTCTGGAAAATAACAGGTGACACTGGGCAGCTTTTCCTGGGCACCTCAGATTAGAGTAGGGGAGGTGGGTCTGGAGATGGCCTGGAGGAAATCAAGGCTGCCACTCACCTGTCTCCATGGCATCAGTGTGTGTAACATGGACCTCTCCCAAGCTGGGGCAGTTAGTGTCCCAGCCAGCATCCAGGTAGGAAGGAACGAGCCTGAGACTGTGGTGGATCAGAGCCAGGGCCACATGTGGGCCACATGTATATAATGACACACATGCACACAGGCCACTCCTCATACAATGAAGGTAGTAAGAGTTGTGTCTTGGTATCTACAGGCTCTGTACACATACTAAGTGTTCTCCCAGCACCCACTCTGTCCATCTTCACACAGCCCCACTGCAGAGGGTTTGGTCCCAGTTTTTTAAGTAATGTAGTATTTCAGGGACACCAGCTCGTGTGCATGCAGACATATACACACACATACATACACACACACAGACATATACACACACAGACATACACACACATACACATAAACACACAGACACACATACACACACATACACACACACACACACACACATTCCACAGGGACACACCGTGTACAAGTGCCATGTGACTCTCAGTACAGCCCACCGCAGTCATTGTTCTGTGTGTGCCATCACGCTCTGTGTGCTGTGTGCTCTCGTGAGCTGTGGTCATGCCCTTATCTCATTGCTGTGTCACGTGTGTGCTCTGGGTGTGGTATTATGCAGTGTACATGCTCTCTCTGCTCCGGCTGTTGTGTGGTGTGGATGCTCTGTTCTTGCTGTTACACTGTGCGTGCCCTCTGGCTGTTCTCTTGTGCTGTGAACATGTTTCACGTGCTCAGTTATGTGCAGGCTCTGTGCTCAGCTATGTGCAGGATCTCTGTTCACACTTACAGGTTTTGCTGGCCCCCCAACAAACAAATCATTTCCCTTCTTCCTCTGTGTTCTTCTCAAAGACAGTAAATGGTAAGCTAAGTCCTCAGTCTCGTTCCTGGCGTGGAGAAGGTCCCTGAGCCCACGAGACACCCACAAGACAGACTCAAGGCAGTTGTGTCATGCACCTTGTACAAAATTTTAGGATCTCAGTGTCCTGACTCAGAGGGGAGAAGTGACAAACATTAGTCCTTTGAATCGCTTTGAATGTGGTAGAGTGCAGACCCGCGGGGTTCCGCTTGGTACTCACATCAGCCTCTGTAGTCAGGGCTGACTGGCCTGTGTCCTGCATAGTCTCTAGGACACACTCCATGTCCTTCTGGTCTTGGGACTCTGAATTTCAAAACGCAACAGAAATCCTGGAACCTCAGACAAGGTTGGGTCTTTTTCCCCAACTGGATGAACATGGTGTCACCCCTTTGTGAAGTCGCGATGCTCTGGACCCTGGCTGTACACCCTAGCACCCAACCTTACATTTGTGAAAGCTCCTTATCTGACTCCCAATCTCTCAGATAATCCCTACTGTAGAATACCCGGCACAGGTAGACAACAGGTGTCCTGCAGAGAAATGCCCCAGAGAGACCCCGCCCTTCTCTAAAGGGAAACCACAGAAGAGAGAGGGACCAGGTTAAAACCTAGCATAACACTTGGCCCTGGATCGAAGGAGCGGAAGCACCACACAGACCCTTCTCACCCGAGCCTCCTCTTCCCCTCTCAGTTCAAATGCTGTGGCAGTAACAGCTCAGCCGACTGGCAGCACAGCGCATACATCTTGTCTCAGGAAGCACTGGGTCGCCAGGTGCCCGACAGCTGCTGCAAGACAGTGGTAGCCCGCTGTGGTCAGCGGGTCCACCCCTCCAACATCTACAAGGTAGAGGTGAGTGCTGAGGTCACTTGGGGTTTAGGGGGAACCCCAGGAAGGCCAGCTCAGTAGGTAGGTGTAGGAAAGCAAAGCACACTCTTTGGCCTGAGATCACAGAGCCTGGGACCCTCAAAGATCCGACAGAGAACTAAAAATTAACAGGCCCCTCCCAGAAGTCTCAGACATCATGGCCTATCCACTGGGGCTCTCAAAATGGCCGGGAGAAATTGAAGGATGGTCTCTTTAAGCACTGATATCTCTCAGCCTCAGCTGCAGACATAGGATGATGGTCACTCATCTCCTAACCCTCCTGCCTGTTCTTGGCCCAAGGTTTGAATAACCCACCTCTACCTCACAGGGAGGCTGCGTGGCCAAGCTGGAGCAGTTCTTGGCTGACCACCTGCTGCTCATGGGAGCAGTGGGCATTGGGGTAGCCTGTCTTCAGGTAAGTGAGGTAGGGGATGTCTTCCCTCTAACATCTGTCTTGGGGAAATCAGCTGACGCTTTTTGCATGCATATTTGGCCCTGCCCTACTCCTGTTCCACCCACCCCACCCCCTTTCCCTTTGCAACCAAAGACGAACCACAGTGTTAGCCTCATTCCCCAGAGAGCCTTAAACAACTTGAATTTGTCTGGAACAGGGACCTGTGACACATCTGAGTGTGAGGTCAGGTATGTAGCATGTACCCTGTGTGCACAGCACAGCCTGCTGGGATTGTGACCATGCATGCCAGTGTGTGTGCGTGTGTGTGTGTGTGTGTGTGTGTGTGTGTGTGTGTGTAAGTTGCCTGTGTGCACATGTGTGTGCATGTACCTGCCATCATTCTCTGTGTATTCATGTATGCTTCCGGAAAGATACACCCAGTCTCCCTGAGGATGGGCAAAGCTACACTCTCCTCTCAATACCTCTCCCCACATGCCCCTCCTCTGGCCTCCATCAGTGAAGTGACCTTCAGTCCCATCATTTGCTCCAATCAAGAGACCTTAGGGGAGAAGCCACGGATGCTGAGCAGGCACAGAAAGTGGTCCCGTCCTCATGTATACTCCTGCTTCCTTCTGATGGTGGGAGCTGTGTGGTGGCTACCCTTCTAGAAGGACCTAGGCATCCTATTGCCCTGCCTGCATCTCCCACCCCAGTGCTGTAAATGACATCTCAAGAAGGGAAGGGGCTGAACATTCAGACACCAAGATCCCAATCTGTCGCTGGCTCCACATGACCTTGGGCCACCACTTACCTTCTTGTACTTCAACGTCATCTGCAGATGAGGCTCATCTCCCCTTCCACAAACCGCTGACATAAGAGCCAGCTGTGCAGGAGAGCACAGGGCCCAAGCAGGGCACCCGGCACACACACACACACACACACACACACACACACACACACACACACACGCCTTTGTAGGTAGGTGCAAGCTAGCTTTATCTGATTCTCTGTGGTTTCAGAGCATCTTCAGATTCTTCCACCTAATGGAGCCTCATACTAGACCCAGGCTGAGAGCACACTCCTTACTTCCCAGATCGGAAAACCGAGACTCGGAGAGAATGCACCTCCCACCTAAAGCTGCAGCCATTATGGCCCTTGGCTCTCCCAAGTGCATTACTCTACACAGAGGCCCATGGGAAGGAAATACATGGAGTGCTAATGTCATCTAGCTGAGGAGTCTCCCAGTGTAAGGATGTCTCTGGACCAAGGCCCACTCCCTGCCTAGTGGGACTGGAGGGCCGGCTGCAGTTTCAGACACTGAGAAGCAAGTTCCCCGTCTCTCAGGGGAGAGCCTTCTTATTTTGTCACTGATGATCTGAGCCACATCGCCTTGGATCAGTTATATCATCTCTGAGCCTCTGAGGTTCCTAAAATGAAGCCTCCTCCCATGATAGTTGGTCACGTGTGCAAATCACGGACCTGGTTGCCAAGCAGATGCTGATACCCCACAAAAGATGCTCATCGCTTTTGTTTCTACACAGGTCCGTCATCTCCTCAAAATTCCCCAATGGCTTCCTGGTCTCCTCACCACTAGACTAGGGAGCCCAGGGAGGTGCACGACATGGCCCTTGCATTTTCACATTTCCCAGAATGGGCCTCTGCCCCTTGTGGTGAACCCAAAGAAGTCTGGGACCAGGCAGGGCTGCCCATCACTCCAGAAGCTGGAGTGATTTTCAGGTTTCCAGGGACCCATCACACTGATTTTTAGGGGCCTACCCCAAAAAGATATTGACCAGGCCTGGTTCACCCCAGTCTACTTCTTCCTGGCCTTTGTCTGCACAAACTGTAGCCAAAGTTAATGAACCCGAGGGCCAGGCACGGGGCTGCAAATGCTCAAAGCCCCAAGTCAGAGCAGGTCAGTGCTACTAGCTACTCTAATGTTCAGGGCCGGGCCACTGGGCAGGCAGCATACCTGTAGGTTGTCACACCTCCCTGTTCTATAACTCTGCATCTCACACCCAGCCCAGGTTTCTTTCTCCCTTGCGGTTCACTGAGCAGAGGCTGGTAATGGCGAAGCCTCGGTTAGAGTGCCCTCTACTGGCTGGAGATGGACATTAATCTGCCCTGTCCTCCAGGCAGCCTGGAGCCTTTAGAAAGGGCCCAAATCAGGCCTCTAGAAGTAGTGTTCCTCCCAGTCAGAGCCGACTCTAGGCGCACACACACACACACACACACACACACACACACACACACACTCGAACATGAACCAAGGCTCAGGATATCATCCTAAGATGGTGTTCTTGTTTCTGGGAACTGGAGGCATCTTGCTTGGGAATCAGAGGGCCTGGACTGTAAATATATCCCCATGTCTTGCTGTGTGACCTCTGAGAAGCCATAGTCTCTCTCAAAGCCTTTGATTTCCTTATCTGTAGGATAGAGAGACTGGAGAAATTATTTTAAAGCAGCAGCCAATGGACATTGCTGCCTAGGAGACTGGTCTGCTAGCACGGAAGGCAGAGCTCTTGGCATTGAAACAGGAGGCAGGCCTGGTATAAGGGCCATCACTGGCTGCTCTGATGCCCCTGAGGTACAGGTATCTTAGCAACCCTGTGCTTCCACTGCCCTGAGATTTTAGTAAGGTTGCTAGCTCACTGACTTTAGGCAGATTCTCTGAGAACTCTGGAAACCAGGCATTAGAATACAGGGCTGCCGGGCAGTGGTGGCGCACGCCTTTAATCCCTGAACTTGGGAGGCAGAGGCAGGCGGATTTCTGAGTTTGAGGCCAGCCTGGTCTACAGAATGAGTTCCAGGACAGCCAGGGCTACACAGAGAAACCTTGTCTCGAAAAACAAAAAACAAAACAAAACAAACAAACAAAAAAAAACAAGAAGTACAGGGCTGCCCACGCTGATCTCAGCCAGGTGTCTGGTGGCATGTCAACCACGGCTTCACTGACATATTATCCAGGAAACACGTGCTCTGGGGAAATGGTGACATTTACGCCATAACATGTGCTCGCCATGAGCTCACCTTAGCCACTGGTAGGATCCCTTGGCAAACTTTGAATCCACCCAAGGCCCAGGCTATGCTCCTGTACATGTACATACAATGGCCGAGGCAGCCACCAGATCTCAGTGTATCTTCAAAAAAAGCATCCTCAGATTTCAGGGACCCCAGAGGAGCCAAGTGGAGTCAGAGATAAGGTGTAGAGGACTTAGGAGGTGGGGGAATGAAAGTCAAGTGGGGAATTCCCCTAGGGGTCTAGCAGCAAGGTGGGAACTGAGGGAGGAATTTACAAAGAGACCCCTCAGAAGCCTCTGAATATGAATGGACCGGCTCCATGGTGGTCTTCACAGCTCCACAGTTGTCTAAATGGAGGAGCCCCTCCACTCAGAGAGGTTTTCCTCAGAGCACTCACTTGCTCCTCTCTCTTCAGCATGTCCAGGCTTGCTGTGGCCACACTGTGTGGCTCCACACACTGAGGCTCCTGTCAAACAATCACACCTGTGCTCGCTCAGATGGACGGCTGCTGGGACCATCTCCCTCAGTATACACTGAGTATGGCTAACTTGTCCCAGAGATGGGACCATCTTCCTCAGTATACATTGAATGTGGCTAACTAGTCCCAGAGATGGAAAGTCACTGGCTGACGATCACACAGCCACTGTGGCAGAGCCAACCAGGCCCCTCATTCCTGGTGTTCTTTCTTCTCCTCCGGCTTCCTCCCTTGTGGGTGGCTTCCACTCAGGCATAATCTTAGAAAGTAATTTATAGAATATTCCAGCTGGAAAACTTTAAAAAGGTTATAGTAAGTAGCCTAGGGATCTTTTCTGGCCATCCTTCTCACACACAGAGGAGGCACCTCCCACCCAGGGGACATGCAGAGGAGGCTCTGAGGCACACTGTGCATTGGCTTTGTAGCAGGGCCGTGCTCTGCCCATGGAGGTGGGGGCTTTCATAACCACGGGGGAAGGGGTCAGACAAGAACACAGGACACGGCCTTGTAATTAGGCAACATCAAACTGTGCACTGGATTCACAGGAAAAAAATAAAATCTGCCTTGACCATGGCTGAACCCAGGAAGAATTCCTGGAGGAGGTGATGGATACTAAATTCTGAGGGGATCTGACAAGAAGCAGTAGGAAACGACTACGGAGTGGATGAGGAGACAGGAACAGTACATGGGAAGGTTTGGCTGTGTCACACAGCCAGTCATGTGAGTCCTGGAGGGCCTGCTGGCCTCTCTCAGATGTGAGGTGCTGAGTTCTGGCTTGGGAAGAATCTTGCCTTCTAGAACAGGCTTGGAGAGGGATGCAACTACGCCCGAGATCACACAGCCTACAGGTACCCAGCTGAACTAGAACCAACCTTAACAGCCCACAGGTAGGATGCTAATGTGTTTTAGAGCCTAGAAAACAGCCAGCTGAGGCTGGATCTCTGGGTCATTGGAGTGTACAGAAAGGCCATGTGGGCCAAGCCAGGCCTTTCTTTCATGCTGTCCAAAGATCACCAGCTGCTTACTGAGTAAGAAACCATGAGCACCACAGCCCCATGTTTAAAAAAAAAATTCCCTGTGTGTGGCCAAGGTCTGTACCAAGTAGTACCCCAAGGGAGCCCTGTGTCCTGTGCAAGTTGAACAGGAGCCAAACCCAGGAGATGGGTTACCTTTGTCTGTATTGCACTCCCTCCGGGAAGTTCTCTGTGTTGTCTCATGTTACTGTGCTTGCTGCTTGGATCATCCATGCTGGAGCTTCTGTGTTCCCCTGCCAAAAGGAGACACTGGTACTTTCTTAGGACTGGTGATTTCTTAGGACATCCTTTACCGTCTGTACACTTAAGGATAGATGTGTGTGTGTGTGTGTGTGTGTGTGTGTGTGCTTTCACACATGTATACTGATGAGGGCATGCATCACATCATGCAGGTGTGGGGAACGTTCTCGTGTATGCATGCATGTGTGCACACTATCCTTCCACCCAGTTCAGGATAATATAGACACACGTGTACAAGCGTGCATGGTCATGTTTTGATGAGAGTGCTACCCCATGCACTTGCTCCGCCTGTTCAAGGTATCCATCTCCATGCATGTCGGGGAGTTCGGCTCCTGCAAAACCATCTAGAGGGAACTGCATGCTGGGGAGAGGTGGGTCTAGCCCATAGCACATAAAGGCCTGCCTTGTTTGTGTACATCAGAAAGACCCAGATAACCCTCGGGGAAAGCATCCAACCCTGGGATGGACACAGGAGCATGACGCAGTCCCTGGGTACATGTCTGAGAATGTATGGCTGTGACAGAGCCCGCTTAAAGCCAGTGGAGGCGAGATAACCTCTTAAGCCGCCTTTGGGCTTCTGATCCTGAGTCTCGAGGTGGATTAGCAGTGCTCTTAGCTCAGAGGCTAAAGCCGAGAGCAGCATTTGTGGCCTCTGTTGCCTACCCTCTTGGGCCTAGGGCAGGGGAGTGGGAGGAAGATGAAGAGACAAACCTGTCCTGGATGGCCTGAAGCTAACCTGACAAGGACAGGCAGCTGCCCCAGGCTACACTCCTCTTGGTGGATCTAGTCCTACTCGGGCTGGAGCTGCACTGGCACTGGGCCTGTACATCCAAGGTCAGATCTCTAGAATAAGGCAGGGAAAGACAGGGTAGTCCCTTACACAGAGACACTCACCTTCCTCCCTGTGCCATGTGACAGTGTGGGACAGGTTGACACAGAGTAGAGACTGAGCAACTATATGGTCACCCACCATGAGGTACCTTGGTCTGACACATCCCCGTCTCTTTGTTCTCAAGGTACCCCTGGTGGGGAAGGAAGGAGAGGGGGACGACACAGCTTCAGGGGTGGGAGAGCAAAGAGCATGGGGTGTAGAATACAGATCCTCTGTCATTTGGGAGTGGGAAGTGTATAGGGAACCGGACAGATGGCACCCTCCGTATCCTTGTCCAGTCAGTGGATCCAGTAGAGGTAGTGACAGGCAGGATGCGGGAGTCTCCATGCTGAGCTCACAGTGTTTCTCACTGAATTGTGATGGGCTTTAGTTTGGCTTTGGAGCCCTAGGGCCGCAGGATGCAGGAAGCCATCTTAGAGAGATTAGATGTTTCCAACAGCTCTAGGGTGTGAGTGGGGTTGTCATCACAGAAGAGCCAGATAAACCGAGCTGCCTCTAGAGAACCTCAGGCTCACGGGCAAATAGCACAAACTGGGTGGATGATGGAGGGGATAGCAGCCGCTGGACCTCAACCCAGACCCACAGGATTGATGTGTGCTATGTAACCATACTCCATGATTTGAGCCTATTCTAGCACAAAAGTTAGACTCTGGGGAGCACTTCTCAGAGCTCGCTTCCCCACCTCTACCCCACATCAACCCCTCCCGGAATCCTGTGAGAAACGCAAGCCCTTCAGGTGGTCAGGGTCTGAGGGGGTGTAGCTCTCCAGCCCTCTCCCGCGTGAGCAACTGCCTCCCAGCATCCACCCAAAAGCCTATGGGGTTCTCATGGCTCGCTGCTCTCTCCACCCTGCAGATCTGCGGGATGGTCCTCACCTGCTGCTTGCACCGACGGCTCCAGCAACACTTTTATTAGAGGATCCCCCTGTAGCCCGCTGACCGGCCCACACAAGGGCTCACATCACCACATCCTGAACCAGGCCTGCAAAGTCAACACTGGGGCCATGGACTCCCTCCACCCTTATGCAGAGGCCACCAAATGCCCGGGATTGTGGCTCCTGTGCATCCCAGCAGGGCAGGGTCCTCAGCTCACTCCTCCATGTATAAGCACTCAGCCACTGGCAGAACCAGAATCCTTGGGAAGGGATGGTCCTGGCAAGAGGCAGCCAGAGCCCTTTGCCAGGCACTGGGACACTGTGGACTACAGGGGGTCAGAGCTCATCTCCCTCTGATCTATCTCAGTATCTGAGTCTGAAACAGAAGGCTGTTGGATGGGTCCCTCTGAAAGTCCTATAGGGCTTGGCGTGTGATTCTAGCTGTCAAGGGGACTCAGCCCATAGGGTTTGGCCTGTGACTCCCGCTGTTGTAGGGCCCCAGCTGGCTCTCCTCAGAGCAAAACAGCACTTTGGGCATACAGGTTAGCTCACCCTTTCCCGAAACCTAGCTGGTTTTTCAATCTCCCACACAGAATAGCTGGCCGTGTCCTTCCTATAATGCACGGGGACAGGAGTGGTCTAAGGTGGAGCAGCTTAAGGCAAGCTGCTGAAGCCACCAGGACAGGGCACTAAGGAGGCAGGTTGGTTACAACACCCGGGAGAGTCACATGATGGTCACAATCCCCCCCATCTCTGGTCCTGTTCCCAGGCTTGACTCCCAAAATGCCAGGTTTAAAATGTCAGTGAATGTAAAACTCTTCCCCTCCCCCCGAGAGGGTGGGGTACACCGCAGTCTCAGCTGCAGAGGAGAGGAAGCTATGGGGCAGGAGGACCTCTGCCTGCACCCCATTTCCTGGTGCCCTCGGGACCCCACAGTTTCTCTTCCATGGGTTCTCCACTTCCTTCTCCGCTGTCCTGGAGATACCATCCTCTCCTTTGCTCTTCTCTTCACTCAAGGAATGACACAGAGGATATTCAGGGAGAACTCATGCGTTAAAAGGCACTGAAAGAGAATTCTAGAAAAATTGAAGGTTGGTAGTAGGTCTCCGCTCATAGACACCATAGGGACCCCCTCTGATTATTACTACTGTAGGCAGCTTTGCACGGCAGGACTCTACTCCCAGCTTTAGCCCCACCCCCCAACCTGGGTCCTGCTCATCTCTCTACAGCAAACCTCAGTTCCCACAAGAACTAGCAGCCTCTTGTTGACCAACAGGACTCAACTTGTCTTCTATCTGTCCCAGTTCTCACTCTGGTGACCCCAGATCCTGCTGAGCTGGGTGAGCTGTTGGAGAGAGGTGAGCTCCCACTCATACGTGGGTGGACTAAGAGCCACTGGTGGCTGTCACCAGCCTAGGTGGAACTCCACTCTCAGGGCAAGAAGTAGCTGTGTGGACAGAGGGAACATCAGGCTCTCGGATCAGACAACCTCTTCCACTCTGGCATTTTCTGGGGGCTACTCTGAGACTGGACTGACTTATGTCATCCATCTGAAGGACCAACAGTAAGAAGAGGACACTCCCAACAATCCCAGACTACACTATGGCTGAGAGAAAACCTTAGCTGCCCTCCACCTTCCCAGCAGATACTCGAAGACTGGTGTGGTTCCCAAGTTATAGACGGAGGGTTGAGAAAAGTTGTGGGGCCCAGACCATGATCTTCCCAAAAAGGAACTGAGGGAGGTGATATTTTGCAAAGGGATACTATGGCCTCAGGTATCTGCTTTGGTAGGCTCCCTCAGAGAGATGAAGTCAGAGGTGACAAGTAGGCACCATTTATACAGACTTAATGCAGAGGTAGTCCAGGAGAGCCTGAGGCATCGGCTCCAGAGTGAGAAGACAGCCCGAACTGTGACTTCCTTGATCATACATCAGCCTTGGTGACATGGTAAGGTTAGAGGACATGAAACATATAGTAGGTCAGGGTCAGTCCAGCAGCTGCAAAGGCTGGAACCAAGTCTGTGGTGAGCTGTGCCCATCAGATTGATGTTAGAATATTTCTTCCTGTTTCCCCTCAGGGACAAGATCCTGTTCAGAGGTTATCAGTCTGAATTTCTTGGAGAGAGGGAAGGACACACCTGTAGAATGTCACCCTCAGTCCTGGGTCAACACAAAACATACTAGGGCCTCATGCCAGGGCCTGAACTTGGTGTCGCTGAAGCCAGTAGACCCTCACTCTGAGCATATGAGTCACCATTCCCTAAGCTCAAAGTGGCCACCTCAGAAACACAGTCTGTCCCCAAATCCCCCAGGTGATCAGTATTGGGGAACAAGGATGAACCTTTGTCTATGACAAGGAGGTGAGGTATCTGCATCACATTTGTCCCTTTCCCTTCAGAACAGTGGACTCCTACCTCCCACTGGCTTGGCTTTGGATGTTCATTGAGGATCTGTGTATTTTCTTCACTATGTGTATCCACAGTGACACAAATAGTCGCCATTCTGCTGATGAAGAAACTTAGGCTTGGTCAAGCTGGACACCAGTAGTGTTTGCTATTGTCGTGGCCCCAGTCAAGTGGACCCAAAGAAATCTGGACTGAATGCACCCTTGCCCCAGCACCAGCTGTCAGGGAGGTATTCAGGAGCAGAATATCCTATGTGCTGTAACTGAGCAGTGGCAGCCTTAATACCTCCCAGGTTGGATGGGATCATCCAGTGTGTCCAATCCCGGCAACCTTCTGCATTCACAGTTGAAGCAGATACCTGTCTTATTTCAGAATGACAACCAGGTCCTATGGGGAAGCTAAGAAGGCCACAGCTCATAGGGATGGCCCAGAGCACACTCAGGGAGTCCTTTGTAGCCGTTATAGTGAGAGCAGGGACTGTCTTTAGTGATCAGTCTTCATAAAGATGAGAGTCACACATGTGGAGATCACCGGCTGGGACACTGAGACATGAGATGCCTCTTCCTGCCCTACAAAGGAGGTCAGGAGAGAAGCCCAGACTGTCTCCACTCAGAGCTACCCCAGGCATGGAGGTATCCTGGATGCTGATGCTGAGTCTCCCCCTCAGGCCATGGTTTCTTCTGCCTTCTTCCCCCGACTCCCAAGTCCCTATTTTGATCATTTGTTATTTCTGAGCTCTGGAGTGGACACAGGGTGATTTTGTCCTGAGTGCCTTCATCCTTCACATGGCCATAGGGGTCCAGGTCCTAAAGGTGCTGGTGTAGGGGATATACAGCAGATCAGTGTGATGAGCCGCTTTGAGCTCAGAATCTGCTCCTCCAGACAGCGTCCAAGGTTTTGAAGTCAAAGGAATGAATGGATCAGTTAGAACCCATCCAGCTTTGAAAATGCCCCCCTGTCCATTGTCCCCACTAGGCTAGAGACAAAGAGGTGAGAGAAGAGAGGGCCGCTGAAGCTATTCAGGAGAAAAGCAGAAGGCTCTGTGGCTGCCAAATGGCTCTTACGCCCTCCATGGCCAGTGCAATGTGTCTTACACTTGGTGCCCCCTCAGCTTCACCAGAGGAGCCTTCAGAACAGGATACGGCCTCCCCAGAATTGCTCCAAGGAAGCCAGAGCTAACAGGTGGCATTCCTGCGAAGTTCCCAGGTAGCGGTGAGGCCAGTGATGGCAACCACACCGAGCCACAGAATGGACTACATGAGGACACTGCCCCCTTCTTTCAGATGTCAGAGCCCCCAAGTGCCAAAAGCCACTCAGGTCATCTGGCCTGAGTCACACATGGAGCAGCTTGAGACTGTTCCCACTGGGTCCACAGCGAGGCTGGGCTGAAGCCAGCCACCGAGTGGTTTACAACCAGCGTGTACATGTCTCTCAACAGTGCATGCCTGATACACACGTCCTGCTGAGTCTGTGACTTTGGTCAATAGGTCAGACAAAAGGGGACCTCTTACACTTCCAATCCCATCCTTTTCTATATGACTTGGGGTGGTTCTGCTGTCTGCTGGTAACTAGCATTTATTCATTTAAATGACTCCAGACATGGCTCCAGGTGGACGTCAAACCTCCCTCATCCTTTCCCTCCTGCTTACGGACCTGTGAAACCTGCTCGTTTCCCACACCAGTACTGACAGAAATTCCAGTGAGCTCATTGTTAGGAAGCCAGATGGGCTCAAGGGTCCAGCTGGCCCATGGATGTGAATTATCAGATGTTCTACAAAGACAGAAGTTGCCTTAACCTACCGCTTATGGTGAAACTCCAGATGTGGGAGCTGCCTCTCCACTGACCAGTGTATGCTCGGTGCCTTGTCTAGCGGACACAATAATAAAGGGCTTTTACCACAGAGTGCTGATCTGGTGTTGGAAGGAGACCCCGGGTCCTCTGTTCACAGAATGCATTGAGCCCCCGCTGAAGCTGCTGTGTTGGTCATGGCTTCCCTACGGCACCTGCTGACTACACCATCAGCAGCTGGGTGCGGCTCATTCGGCATCTCACCGTTTACTAGTGCGGAATGATCTCTGCCGCTTGCGAGTGTCATCAATCCCACATTTCAGGCTGTTAACAAGGGCAGAGCTGAAGCACGCGTGTTCTGCTTCCAGCTTCCGGTCTTCCATCAGGGAGCATGTTCACACTTTCCTGTGAGGCATACCTGCTGCCTTTGTGACACGAGCTGGCACTGAATCTGCCTCCTCCTATGGCAGTACTTTAGAGGCCAAGACAGGAGGATTGCTAAACGTTTGAGGCCAGACTGGGTTACTCAGTGAGTTCCAAGCCACCCTGAGCTAGTGTAGCAGTCTGCTAAAGGAAAGAAGGAAGGAAGGAAGGAAGGAAGGAAGGAAGGGAAGGAAATTCAGGACACATGCGATGCCTCCACAGGTAAAAGCTCTTGTTGCAAAAACCTGACAGCCTGAGTTGGATCCCCAGAACCCACAGCAAAAGGAGAGAACCTAGTCTCTAAGGCTGCCTTCTGACTTCTACATACACGCTATGGATCATGAGTACCCACTAGCATCTCTCTCTGTCTGCCTCTCTCTCTCTCTCTCTCTCTCTCTCTCTCTCTCTCTCTCTCTCTCCCTCTCTCTCTCTTACACACACACATACATGGGGGGAGGGGAAGTCAGAGAGTGGGGGGAATGAAACAAGCCAGATGTGGTGGGTGGTGCACACCTTTAAACCTCCCACTTAGGAGGTAGAAATAAAAACATTTTATTGTCTTCTCTCTCATTGGAGTGAACTCTCTGCTCATCCTTCAGCATTTCTATGAGTGTGCACACAGGCACATATGTGCACAGACACACCCAAGGAAAGTAAGTGGCATTGCACACTCTTCCCCACTGCAGACAAGCAGCACCAATGATGTTCACAACTGCTGTCACTAATGGTGGCTCACAACTGCTGTCACTAATGGTGTTCACAAGTGCTGTCTAAACTGCCCTTGCAGCTGACAAGGAGGGCAGGCGGCATGAGCAATGACAAGGTCTGCCTGGGGGCTTCAGGCTGGCTTGTCATGTGCTACTACTTCCCAGCAAATGCCCGTACCTTATAGCATCCCTGGGTTGTGGACACTGCCTCTCCACAGCGGCTAAGAGGGTGTCCTAGGGAAGATGCACACGGAGCCTGAAGCTCTTTTCTGCCTAGTTATAAACACACAGGGATCACCTGCTACAATGTCCTGTTTCTGCCTCGGGTTGGAACTGTAATGAGTCCAGCAGGATGGAGACAACAGCCATGGGCCCAGGCAGAGCCTTTGCATCAGGCATTTGCATCTATCCTGTCCATCATCCAGGGGCAAACACCATCACTGCGTAAGAATCTCACAAAGCCAGTGCATTGCTTTTCTCATTGCTGTGACAAAACGTCTGACAGAAATAACCTCAGAGAGGAAAGCGTTCTTAGAGTTCATGGGTTCTGAGGAATTTCAGCCCATCATCTGGGAGACACATCAGTCTGTGGCAGTGGCAGCAGTGGTGGTAGCTTGTTCACATGGTGACTGGGCAGGAAGCAGAGACTGACACAGGTGGGGTGGGGGTTGGGGAGGACTAAGTATGATCTTCAATGACTTCCTTCCTGTAGATGGACTCTTCTTGAAGGCTCCAGGTGCTGACCACAAGACCCAGTCAGAAACTTCCTCAACCAAGTAACCTTTGCCCAGAGCTGCAGAGAGGGACCAGCCCATGTCCTGAGCCTCTCCAGAGGCATCTCAGTTCTCTGTTGGCCTCTTGGGGGGGGGGGGACCACGGGGGCACTTCTTATGGGGGAATCTTCAGGCAAGAGAGCTGGTCCTGCAGGCAGTCCTGCAGAGTATTGCTATTCCTTTTCTTGGCTTAAGGAGACAACGGGCCATCTCAGGACTGTCAGACTCAGCAAATCCAGACAGCCTCCCAATCTTGCTGAATGCTTGAAGGACTGGGAGCAATGTCAATATTTTTGTGTCTCAAGGACATTTATTTAATCTGACTTCTGCAGATTATTGAATGGTGCTGCTGAGCCAGCGGATGCCTTTCCAGTAAGCTCTGTTTGGCTTCCTCTCTCCCTAAAAACATCTACACCCTTTTCCATATCGCCCTCCTGGGTCCCAGGCTGATGATTTTCTGTGGATCCTGCCTTTAGTTTGGGGACTCGGTATTTGTACTGGTCCAGGAACAAGTTGGATGTCTCTCTACCTTCTTGATTATTTTTATTTTATATGTGTGGGTGTGGTTGCCAGCGTGTGTCTGTTCATGGTGTGCATCCCTGGTGCCCACAGAAGCCAGAAGAAGGCTTCAGATCCCCTGTAGCTGGAGCTACAAATGGTTGTGAGCTGCCATGTGGGTGCTGGGAATCAAAACCTCTGGAAGAGCAGACAATGCTTTTAAGTGCTAAGCCACCTCTCCAGCCCCTCTAAGTTTAATAGTGTGCATTCATCGTATTAAGGGAGGTTTAGATCATATTGTGGCCCTTCCTCTCATGTCCTCTTTCTTCTCTGTCACTGGTTCCTCCCTTTTATATTTCCTTATAGCTTTATTTTTTAATAAAATCTAGATTACACATACCAAAAAAATGTGTGATATTTGTATGAATCTGTCTTGTTTAGTACCATGATGCAACTGTGTTCTGGCCAATGACATGATTTTGCCCTTTTAAAAATTTTCAAAGATTTATTTATTTTCATTTTTATGTATATGTATATTTTTCCTGTATGAAGACATTTGCACCAGATGTGCGCCTGGTGCCCACAGAAGTCGGAAGAGGATTTTAGATCCCCTCAGACTAGAATTATGAATGGTTGTGAGCCACCATGCGAGTGCTGGGAACCATACCTGGGTCCTCTGCAAGAACAGAAAGTGTTCTTAACTACTGAGCCATCTCCCCCACTCTCGTGATTTTGTTCTTTATGTTGGATGAAGCTTAGTGGAACATAAATTCTTTTATGTCATCTTCACATATCTGTATGATGGGCATTATTTTCACTTTGTTGATAGCAAAGTCAAGACAAGTTCAGAGACTGGCTGAGGCTCCCAAGGACACCTAGTGCAGAGTAGAAAGTGAATCCAGTTCTTCCATTCCCAAATTACAGCTCTGCCTCTCTCCATAGAATTTCTCTAATGGCAAAACTTAGACGAGAAAGGTGTCTGGGATCTGGAGAATCTGAATGGTGTTTGTGGGAATGTTTTGCAAGTATGAGTTGCAGAACAAACACAGAGATCCAGCTATGTCACACACAAAAAAATCTGCCACCTCTTACAGTCAGGGCCAGACAATATGATCTCTCTGCTGTGGTTCATCTTTAGTGTCAACTTGACTGGGTTTAGAATCACCATGGAAACACCTCTGGACATGTCTACGAGGATGTAACCGAGAAGACCCACCCTGAATGTGGATGGCTCCATTCCATGGGTTGGGATCCTGGACTTTGTTAAATAGAGAAAGGTATGGTGAGCGCCAACGTTCACTCTCTCTGCCACCTGACGACAAACACAGTGCAGCCAGCCCGCTCACATCCTGCCATCATGCATTCCCTGTCATGATGGACTGCACCCGCAAACTGTGAGCCCAAAGGAACACTTCCTTCCTTAAGGTGCTTCTATCAAATAAATAACACACACATCTATCAGTGCAAATGACTGGTCACCTGCCGGTCCATGTTGAGTGTGATGCAGGGTGAATGGAAACGCTCCCCTGCCCCAGGAGATCTAATCAACTACCACAGCTCATCTCTTGTCTAAATCCCTGCAGGTAAGCTGTCCCTTCTCAGCCAGTATCTCACTGAAAGCCAAGGCTAAACACCTAGATTTGGGCTTAAAAACCTCAAGTTTCTATCCCTCCTGCATGGAAGTTTGGGCTCTTGACCTGGTTCATGAGGTTGTACAGAGAGGGACCTCTCCCTCCAGACACTCTCCTTCTACCCGATGCACTCAGACACTCCCTTGCACCCCCTGGTTAATTATTACTTTATTAGCCTCGACAGAATCTCCTCTAGAAGGACTCTCACAAGGCAAGTTGGGGTCATGGCTTGACCCCTACAGCCATCCTGAATCCTGAGAATATCATTACTAGTGTAACCTTGTAGTTTCCACTGTGACCCGCCCCCTCCACTTTAGATGGCTGGCTCTGTGGGCAAAGGTCAGCTCCGTGACATTCACCCTTGGAGTAGGTATTAGGTGCCAAGTTTGAATCCATGTCTGTGGGTGACTCGGCATCTTGTCTATGCTGTCCTGGTCTGGCTCCCGAGGTCTGGTAGCATTGTCTGTGGGTGCCAGGCCTGTTTAGCTATCCTTTCTAAGCTGGCCTTTCTTGTTTCACTGAGCACAGAGGGGAGGCTGTTCTCCCACATCACAGGTTAATGGGGGAATCAATCAAGAGGTCTCCAGAGTAATCTAAGCCATTCTTTCCCATGATCCTCTTGACTTTATACCTGTCATCAGAAGACTCTGGAGGCCCCTGAATATTCTGGTTTGGCTCATTTACCCACATTACTAACAAAGGGTTTACTGTGTCGTAGTGAACCACCAGTAGACAGCACACTGACCTGGCAGATAACAGCAAATGTGGCCATATCCTGGGACAGGTGTAGGAGCAAAGGGACAGATGAGAAGTAGCTTCCTTGCCAATTCCTATGACCCAGCTGACTGTCAACTGATGGGGATTACCCAACTCCTTACTCTGGATAAGTCTAGGGAGATTCCCAGGGACTCTAGCTAGACCTTTGGACTTAACCCAAAACTTGAGATAAAGTACTGCAGGTTGATGCTTTGGGACAACGTGGTGTCAACCTGGCCACTCCTTGGAGGGAGGGAGGGAGGGAGGGAGGGAGGGAGGGAGGGAGGGAGGGAGACACTGCTGCACATCTCGAGGGGTTTGGGGGTGCCTCATCTCCATTTCGTCCTCTAGATGCCTGCCCTTGTTCTATCTCTGCCTCTTCGCTGGAGATAGTGGCACTCGGTGACCCAGGACAAAGGGAACTCTCGGCTGTCTTCATCTGCCTCAAAGATAGAACCCAACTGGGGCAGCAGGAGACTCTGACACCAGGGAGGTGTCGAGGCCCCCAGGACTGGCTGACATGCCTGCCAGTCAAGCTATGCTTGTGCCTCCTCCATGACCATCCTCAGACTCCTATTTCCAGACTTCCTTGGAGGGTGTCTGAAGCTACCCCAAAGGATGTTAGCTGAGACAAAGGATATCATGAGGTTCCTACACTCCTGGAAAAGACGCTATCCCCAAAGGAACCTTCATAAGCAGCAGAGGGATTGGGATAAGAGTGCACCTATCCTCACAGCCTTCACCCAGAGGAAGTAAGGGCCTGCTTCTCACTCCTCCTACAGGACCAGCCAACTGTGGGTGACACTGAGGTGACATTTCACTGAGGTGAAATGACAGCCTCTCAAAGAGAAGGGTTGGGTCACTGGAAACTCCTGATTAAGCTTGTGTCAGTCACCAAGCAAGAGATCTATGTGTTAGGATTCCCCGGGCCTCCATAGAGGGGACAGAGATCCATTCACCCTGGCAAATCTGAATCCTGGGCCACAGGAGAGATGAGGTCCTCTTACAGGGGCCTGACTGCCTGGTCTTCCTCTGGGTTCCTCCATTCTGGTCACGGCCCAGGAAGAACACACACCACTAAATAACAGTCTGCTCGTGCTTTTGACACATGATCAGTTTTTATTTAAAAACATGCTAAAAACATGGTGTTCGTTAAAGCGGGACCTGGGATGAAGGAAATGCAGACAAGGCATTGCAAGCAGAAAGTGCATTCGAAACCAATAAGCGTGCACTCCTGGCTCTCTGGCCACCCAGGGGCAGCAAGGCAAGTGGAGGCCCAAAGGCCTCACTCCTCCAGATGCCCACTCAGAGAGGGGAGGCCAGAACGCCACCATCGTGGAGGAGGGGAGGGAAATGAGAAAACAGGAACATGAGAAGGGATGCCAGGGGTCGTGGGGCAAAGAACAGACCCCAAGCATCTGGCACCCAGCTCCCTGTCCTGTGCCATGTCCCTGCTAGTTAGCACCTCCACCAGAGGGTGGGCAGGGGTCCAGAGAGGAGAGGACAACCAATTCCATCCACCTGAAGTGAGCTGGAGGCTTGACCACTTAATTCTAAGTCAGGTCAGAGCAGTGTGCAAGGGGGACAGCTGAGGTGCTGGTCCAGACTGGTGGAGACACAGAATGACTCTGTGCCAGCTCAGAGTATAGAGGTGCAAGGAGACATGTACCTGACATCTGTCAGTCATGGAGAGCAGTTTCCAGACCCTACCCTCTGAGCCCCACTGCCAGTCAGTTGGCTGTGGAGAAATGCCAGGGGCTATGTCAGGCATTTCCTTGAGGTCATTTGCAAACCATGAGGACTTTCTGAGTCAGGTCTGTAAATTGCTTGTGCGGGACCTGAAGGAAATGGCTCTGTCTTAGGCCAGGGAGGCCACAGGTAAAGGAGGTCTGGTGGCAGGACCTCAGTGAGCTCAGAGCCAAGAGTATCGGAGAAGACCTGAGGCACCTCCTCTGGCCTTACTCGGTGTGGTCTTCATTAGCATATAAGGGCCATTCCCCCAAGATAAGCAAGGGTCTCAAGACATCCTCTCTGTGCCTGGAGACCTCTGCCCCATGAAGACTCTGCAGATGACTACACAGCCACACACAGCTAAAACCAAAAAAAAGGCGGTTTGGGACTTATGATCTGGCTCTGCTGAACAGGCAGGCGATGTGGGCATGGTGAGGGTGGGGGACTTTGGCTAAGGCTCCAGGGACCAGCACCACCCTGAAGCACTCTAGAGCTGTGACGAGGCAGGGAGGGGAAGTGCCTCCTAGAGTACTGGGACCTCAATGTTGATGTTAATGAAAGTTTAAACACCCATAGATGGGCATAAACAAACCCACCCTATCCATAATGCAGCAGGTGCCACGCTTGTTTTCTGACTGTTTAATGGGTCTACCTGAACTCTGCATTTTGGAGGTTCCAGGGAAGTGGCTGCCATTCCTCCAATAGACCACAATTCCACCTCCTGGAACTGGCAACTTCTGGGACCAATCTGCTGAGAGCTCCCTGTTCTCCTCTCTCACCTCCAAAACTTGAATCTTGAACATATTGAAAGTTCCACACCCCTGGTCATCCACTGTCTGTTATTCAAGGAGGTCAGAGGGGTTATAGGTTGGTTGGATATCATGACGAGATCAGGGAGGACCTGGCCTGGTGGGAAATAGTGGGAAAGAACCAAATGGCACGAGAAAAGCAGCTACCACATGAAGGCCTGAGAATGAGGTGCTCTGGATCCCAGTGGGTGCTCGGCCAGTCCCACAGGCCCTTGTCTTTATGGAAGGACACGGTGGGTATCAGTGCCAGCAAGACTCCTGCTACAGCTTGAGATAAAACCTGCCTCCATCTCCCATGCCAAGCACTGGGCATCTAATGAGGGCCTTCTCTCCAGTGCTGTGGGGGCAACAGAAGACTGACTTCTCAGAGTTTCTGTATCTTGTATCTTTGAGGTTCCATGGAATATGATGCCTGTCCCGCAGTGTGGACAGCAGTGGATCCTAAGGAGGAATGGTCCTGAGACCCACATGGCCCTTTTCTTTCTCCTCGGCAGGGCAGTAAGCAACTGAGTGAGTCTGGTAGGGCTGGCCATGGATGCCAGCTCTGCCTCCCTTCCTGGGTAGTCCTGAGACTCTGACAGTCTGGGCAGAGGAACATGTCTGCTTCCACTGTCCAGACCAGGGTAAGTAGAGCAGGGTCTGAACCAGAGGAATTTGCAGCAGGAATGTGTGAGAGTGACCATCTGGGATGCAGGATGTTTGTGGGTCAGGAGGGAAGCCGGCAGAGGACTGAGGGAGGAAGAGGGGGAAGGGGATAAAGAAGAAGAAGAGGAAGAGGAGGAAGAGGAGGAAGAGGGGAGGAGGAGATGCCACAGACTGTTCTGACTGCCTCTCCTCCCAACAAAGCATTTCCCCTGACCTAAGCATGCCCTGCTGATGTGGCTCCCTGGTTCAGGCAGCATCCTCTCACCCCAGAGTTGGATGCCCATGCTCTGTATCCCACCAGCCTCCTCTGGCTCCATCCATGGTCTCCAGGCCTGGCAGGGCCCCGTATCATGGCTGTACCCTCTCCCTCGAGGTGAGTCCTAGGGAAAAGGCTGGCACTTCTCACCCTCAGCCTCGTGAGTGTTGCACAGTGGTGTGTCCTGACTGAAAGCGGATGGAGGTCCTTTCTCCCTAACCATCCCCACCCACAGGAAAAGGAAACTCAAACCGTTATGGAAATCAACACAGTAAAAAGTTATAAATCAGAAAGCTAACCCTAAACTTATCTGAGAGATAATATTCCTGAATAATCATAATCAGAGTAAAATTAAAAAAAAAAGTTACACTATAGTATAAAAACCTGGGCAGGGTGCTCCAGGGGGCCTGACCTGACGGTGCCACACTGCACCCTGGCAGGCTCTCTGGCTGGGCAGCCATGGACGGCAGTGGCCTCCCTGGGGCAGACTCTCCACCCCACACAGGAACAAGTGTCAATGTGAGGAAGGCCAGAGGCAGAAACACATCGTCGGGGCTTCCTCGTTGACACCCTGCCCACCCTGGCGTCTTTGGCAAGTATGCAGGTGCAGGAATCCAGGTGCCCAAGCCCTGAGGTCTCTGCACGATGCCTTCTCCTTGGGCTTCTGCCCTCCATGAAGTCTAAGGCCAAGGATGTGGGCAGGAGAGTGCAGGCTGGCAGGTGGTGCAGGGTGGCCATCGGAGAGCAGGCAGGAGACACAACTCAGGTCCTCTTCCCTGGCACATACAGTGTCCGGGTGGAGCCAGGCGCTGCCAAACACTCAGGCATCGTACTTTTTACCCGTCCGGTGGATGTGCTGGAACAGAGTCATGGAAAAGGCCATTCCTAGGATCTGAAAGACAAGGAGAGGACTTTAAAGAGATGCTCTTGTGGCCTGAGGTCAGACCTCAGTTTCATAAGTTTGGAACTGCCCTGGAGAACCTAATATAAAGTGTGTGTGTAACCGAGTGTGCTGGAAATGAGTTGGAAAACAAAGAAACCAAGGTTTTGGAAGCTCTCCTGGAGACCCTTCAAGCCATGTGTGCAGAAGGCCACAGATCCCAAGCTACTCACATAGCAACATTTCAGGGGCACGGGGAGAAGGCAGAGTGCATACAGGACCTGACCCTCCATGGAGGTAAGAGAAGATGAGGGAGGAGAGCAAAGAAGTTAGCAGTGAGTGTGGTACACGTCATTAACATTCATGCCAACAAGCTCTGTTTGGTTCTAGAATACATGAAGTGATGTCTTTGGAAAGAAGTGTCTTGAACAACATCAAATCTCATTTATGCTCCTCAACCAGACAGAATCCTGAAAGCAGGTAGAGACACAGAGGTGCAGGCAGAGGCCACCTGTGGCTTCACCCAAGCTGCCAGATATCATTTGTAAAGCCGGTGACCCAGGGACACTGAACACCTTCAGCTCTCGTGGAGAGTGTGTCAGGTGACACCAGTTTCAACATCAGGTCCAGGGCCCTGCTAAGCACTGAGCACTGCCTTGCTCACTGCCTGTGACATCACTCAGAGCTCTGCAGTGGCTTCACTGCTGGGCTGGACACTGCGTACCACCTGGCTCAGGCTCTCACCCATCCAGAGTCGGGGCGCCCAGGGTCTCCTCACCTGCACGATGAGTATGCACATGCCCACGGTGCCCAGCACGTGCTTATTGTCATCAAACCACAGTTTCACTTTCTCATAGCAGCCCTGGGGAGGGAACCACAGGTAAGGTCCTGGCATGATGCTGCATTCCAACAGCCTGGCCCTACCTTCATTTTGTTCTAGTCCCTGTCTTTATTCTTAATTCTAGTCCCTTACTACCCTTAGGCCCTGGTCCTCCCTAGTAGCAACATCCAACCCCCAGGCTCCACTTGCAACAAGAGCTGCACTGTCCCAACCCCATCTAATCCCTTACCTTCTGAATCCCAAGTGTGGGTCCAGCACATATGTACATATATACATGCACACACACACACACACACACACACACACCCATCACTGTTGGCTTCACTCCAGTGTACCCCTCTCCCCATCCCACAGTGAACTAATTCCCGTCACTCCTCCTGCCAGGCACATCCAGTGCACATGGGACCAGTGAGCCCAAGGCACGGATATCCAGCCTCACCGTTCTCCACAAGGGAGTGGTGCTGTTGCGGCCACAGCCCTGGGAATTCTCCATGCAGCATCGATCAGGAACTGTGTTCTCCCCGAGCACTGGGTACCAGTCTGTGTAGTCAGTGACCCCACAGCACCGCATCTGTGGGAAGTGAGGCCAGATATGTCAGCCCCACCAAGGCAGCCACCCAAGAGTGCAGGGATGGGAAAAAGAACCCCTTGTCCCCTCTTGGAGCTGCAGCCAGGTCCCCAGAGATAGTAAGTGACTCTTCTTTCCTACACCAGCAGGGGGGAGGGTAAGGCTGCTGTCCTCTGGGCTGAGCAGAGGGTGGAAGAGCCCAGTACAGTACTTGTTCACCAGTACCGTGACCTCCTTCCTATGTGGTACGGACCCTCCCAAGCTGACTGCCAGGGTCTATGTGAGGTATGCATCAGGGAACAGAGACTTTATTCCTGTCACTATCAGAGCCTGACACCGGAGCCAAACGTGATCTGGTGACTCCTGTCATTCAGGCCCGCCCACTCCTGAGGCCCACATCATGTGCCTCGTGTGCGCATCTCTTCATCCGTCCCCAGTAGCATCCCATGCTATGGGCTGACTCTTCGGGTTTAGGCAAATGCCCAGTTCGGGTGGTTCTCCCAACAACTCAGGTGACCTGTGGCCTGCCCCATCCTTCCCCACGCACAGACCCTAGCCGCACCTCGGCCTGGATGATATTCCAGGCGTTCTTGAGCCCCACGTTGTTCTCGGTGTTGTACAGCCGCAGCCCCCTTTTCAGGTCCTGCTTGGCATTCTCGTTCACCTGGCAGATGACGGGCAATACCACTGGCTGAGACCAGGCCACTGGCTCTCCTCCCTAACCCATACCAGGCCAGCTGGAGATGCTGGAGCTGTGTTTCTAGACAGGGAGGGGAAGTGGCTAGGGTGGGACCCTCAGGTCTCTCTCAGCCAATGGTTCCCCTGGCCTAGCCCCGGGGCTGTGTGACCTTCCATCTCGCCCCGCTCTGCAAGGTTTACCTTGTCCATGTAGACGAAGAAGAGGATGAGCAGAATCAGCTCTGCCAGCAGGATGATCAACAAGACGATGAAGAACTGGAAAGACAAGTGCAAATGTGGGTTCAGGATAGTGGCAATGGCCAGGGTGGCTGGTAAGAGAGAACGGGAGTGGGGAAGGATGGGCAGGGTTCCCAGGCTGGGAGCATCACCTACTCCTAAGCAAACCCAGACAGACCACATATCAGAGAGAGAGGGACAGCCAGGGCTAGGGACAGAGTCTTATGGAAGCAATTTCTATGGACTTCAGTTAAGGAGCCCCGGAAAGCAATGAAGGGAACATGAGGTCCAACTTACACTGAGAAGCAAACACTTGTTTTCCTTGATGGCCCCCAGGCAGCCCAGGAAGCCTGTCACCATGACGATGGTGCCTATTGCGATGACAAGGTTGGCCGCAGACAGCGAGGGGAAGCTGGGGGAGAAGGTGGCAAAGTTGCCTTGGGACACGGAGAGCCAGATGCCCACTCCGAGCAGCCCACAGCCACAGAGCTGGAGAGAGAAGACACCAGTTAGACCAGCATCACACCAACATCCATCTCCCAGACCACTCCCCTATGCACGTCTCCCACCCCCGACACTGAGATACAAAATGATTATAAAAAGCCAGATACTGTCACAGACCCAAAGCCTATGACATGCTGCCTGACCACTGCGTGCCTCAGTCTCCCCTCCAGTGAATGGGATGAGGCAGCTTCATAAACCTCGCAAGGTCTCTCTGAAGATCAACTTCAATGAGACAAAGGGAAAACCAGAAAACTACATAAATGTGCACTCAGGTTACTCCTCTGGGCAGAGAGGACTGCCATGCTCAGAAGCGAGGCTGGGGCAGGGTTTGACTGGTTGGTCTATGGCAGAGAACCCAGGACTCTCAAAGCCAAAATCTCAGTGGGTGTTTCCCACTACCCTGAACAGAAGGGTCACGTACCCATTGTTCTCTGAAGTCTGAAAAGCAAGTCCATGGGTAGAGGGGTAGAAGGTGCTCATGGGCTGGCTAAGGGGCAGGACTCAGGAGTCCATGCTGTCTACCCATGTCCTGTCTACCCATGTCGGTGAATCTTCACTGGCATCTTGGTGGGCGCCACCATAGAAATGCACCTCTGTGTGTGTCTATGCAGGTATTTCCAGAAAGCCTTAACTGGGGCGGGAAGACCCAGCCTGAAAGGGGGCGGCACCATCCTTGTCGCAGGCTAACACACTGAGAAAGGAGCAGAGAACAAGCATTCTCTCTCTCTTCCCTAAGGTAGGATATAAACAGCTGCCTCCAAACTCCACTGAGATGCCTTCCCGACGGATGGGCCGTCCCCTCAAACTGTGAGCCACAAAAAAAACTCCAGAAGTGGCTTCTGCCAGTTTTTTTATCAAAGCAGTAAGAATGAACACACCTCACCATCCACAGAACAAACGGGTCTATAAACTGACCCTCTTCACCAGCACCCCGAGCCATAACTAAAGCCAGCAGCTCTGCCTGGGAGAGCTCCCCTGTTACAGCGGCCAACCTCCCAGCTCGCTCTGTTTTATGCTCCGTTAAGCTGACACTCTCTGCTCGGCCCTCTCCCACCCCAGCTCTAGGGAAGTGTGCTGAGTCTGTGGAGCCAATCCATCAGTCAGCCGATATTTATTGAATACCTACAACACACAGTGTTCTGTGCCAGAAAAGCTACAGCCACGTTAGAGACCTGCCTTCCAGGGGCCTCCATTCTAGCTGAACGGGAACAATGAAAATGCAGCATCTACCAGTATACAATGGCGCCAAATAACAGCTACGAGGGTTTAGAAGAGGCCATCCCTAACCTGGTCAGAGACATCAGTTGCAGGGAGCAATCACCAGAGGATAGGTGGATGTGAGAGAGGCCTGAGGCGGAAGACAAGTACTTTCCATGCAGAGTGAAAAGATGTAAGGACTCAAGAGTCACAGGTGTGGGTGTCCCCATAGCTCCACCTACCCTGGCTTTGTGACCTTACACACTCTAGGGGTGCACAGCCCTTTCCATGGAATAATATGATGGCTCTTCTTGGCTGTCCATGTGACCACATCAAAAATTAACTAAACCTCAAGAAGCTGGGTACACCTGTGAGGGATTTTTCTTTACTGAATTATTTGAGTGGAAGGACTCGCCCTGAATCCAGATCTTTTGAGGTGGGAAGATCCACCTTAAATCTGGGCCACATCTTCTGGTGGCAGCCTACATAACTTTATAAGGACACAGAAGAAGGAAGCGTTTGCTCTTTGCGTGTTTGCCTTCACTATTGCTGGCCAGTCCATGCCTTCTCTGATATTAGCACCTACTTCTTCTGGATTCTGGTATATACTAAACAGCAGCTGGGACAGCCAGCCTCAAGGACTGAACAACTACTGGATTCTTGGAGGAGATGTCCATTGTTGGAGTAGTCGGACCATAGTCTGTAATGACTCTAATAAAGCCCATTTTGGCAGTGGTGGTGCACATCTTTAATCCCAGCACTTGGGAGACAGAAGCAGGTGGATCTTGGTGAGTTTGAGACCATCCAGGTCTACAGAGTGGGTTCCAGGACAGCCAGAGTTATGTACAATGAGAGCAGCTGAAGAGTGGGGAAGAAACAGGCACAGACAAGGAATTCTACTCTCAGACACTCAAGGTGAGGGGAATGGGCATCGGCTTCTAGGAGCTGTGTTTTCTTTGCTCATTTAGCCTACAGACTCTAACCAGGCACGTGGTTATCAAACACCAGAGCCGGAGGAAGTAGTGAACAGTCCTGGCAAATACCCTGCCTAGGGAAAGGAGATTCTCATTAACACACACACACACACAAAACACAAGCACAGATAAATGAAGCGATGGAATGTCCATATAAAGAAGCAAGACCACTTCAGAAAAGCATACATCAAGTTAAGAGACCTCAAGTTAGGACAGTGCCTGTCCGCCATGGGGAACAAGCTGCCATGTGGCTGCCACAGGATGACCGCAGTGGCATGTGGTAGATAGAAGATAAAAGAGGGAACGTGCAGCCAGGGAACAGATAGAACAGGACCTTGAAAGTAGGAGGACGTGGGTGTCCTGCCCCAGGGTTGAATGTGACATGAGCTAACAGATGCTTTTGACAATCATCATGGCTGCTATTCCCCAAAGAGGCCACTGAGGGCAAGAGCCAGCCAGCACATGCAGGGACTCCTGCAATGACTAGGGGAGAGCTGGTGCCACACACCAGATGAGTCTGCAGAAGCAATGAGACACGGTCCCATGGGAGACAGGCAGTGTTCAAAGTGAGCTGGGTTTCAGGACTGAAGAGAATTCTGAAAAATAGGGAAATTTTCAGAATGGCCCAGCCCAGATCCCTCTGCCCCCCACACAATATTTCTAAGCCATAGATGATTCGAGGAGCTGTAGGGGACCAGAGGAAGGTGGCTTCTGCACCAGAGCGACCTCAAGTGAGACCACATCGAGGTTCCTAGGATTCTACACTATCACCTCAAAGCCTTGTAGCAGGAATGGGTGTGCGCGGATGCCCTCTGTGACCACTAGGTGGTGCTCCAGTCTGGTTCAGAAGCTTGTTGGGTTGGCCTGTGATGCCCTAAACTTGCATGCAGCCTGTCACCCAGACTTTCTTCAATCTGGTCAGTTTTCTGAGCTGCCGTCTCAATTTTTCTTTCATTAATCATACCCTGGAAAATTCATGATTTTGAACCAAAGATTTATGGCTCTATAAATCAGACCCTAGAATGAGTAACAGAATACCCTCAGGGCAGGTACTTCTTTGGATTGGAGGAGCCTGGCCTGGGGACTCCTGGGGCTGTAAGATGCCCCCACCATTGTGCTGTTTCTGGCCTCCAGGGCACCTATGTTAAGGCAGAGCCTTTTCCATCTCGCTCATCGGGAGCAGGTCTGCTGGGTCCCCTGTACTCTTGGGGAGCTCCTGTGGTGTCCAGGAGCATGTCTATAGGAAACCTTAGCAGGTCAGAGCCTTCCTGGGCCACGTTTCTCCCAATTGGCTTTCTGGCTTCATACCCCCAAGCCAAGCTCTGCAGACATCAGCTCAGGAGCCTTCTTCCAGTGAACTCCCACACTCGTGTCTCATCTTCCTTCCCGTCTGACGTCTCACCAGGCTGAGATCCAGGCAGTCATAGCATAGGAGAACCGGAGCCTGACTCCTGGACAGCCTCCTTCCAAAGCCCTCAGACCCACTCCACCCCTACTAGGCCCTCTTTAGTTCTCTCAGGCAACCTGCTGTACCACAGAGCATGCATAGTGAGAGCCTCGTCCTTGGGGTCTCCTGTTGACATAAACATTCTACTACATGACCCAGCCCCACCTGAGGCTCCAGGCAAGAAGAAAACAAAGACTGGGGCAGCATTTTCCAGCTAATGACCCTGTCTTGAGGCCCCTCCACAGGCCAGGCACCAGCTAATTCCTTGAGAACACTGCTGCTAGGGAGAGCACTCATATTCTCCCTGGTGACCCTCAAAAGGATGGTAAGATGTCAGACTCTTTGGGAGGTTTCAGCTAGGTTAGAGCCGGCCAGAACTCACATCTAGATGTCTGTGGGCAAAAGAGAGGAGGTGACTACAGACACAGGTTCACTGTGGGGTTGGGGAATAAGGCCTGCCCTGAGCAGTAGGGGGACATGAAGTCAGGAAACCAGCTCTAAAGTCAAAGTCCAGGAGGAGGGCAGGGAACCACCCCTACCCCCACGGTGGGAACCATTCAGGAAGCATAAGGCTTGGGTGGCCCAGCCAAAGCTGGGTGCCAGAGAGCTTAGTAAGTGGTATTCGAGAAAATTCCCTTCTAAAACCAGAGGGTTGTCTCAGCTGAGATGACCGAGCTACCACAGAACCCGAGACTGAAGAATCTGGGGCGAGGCAGAGTGACTCAGGAGTATCAGGGTCCAGTCAATATAAGCACCAACTAAGTGGGGTCTTCAGCCCCCTCATGTAGCCCAGGGCTGGTTGGAACCTGTTCTAAGCAAGAGCAAGCTAAGGTGGCTCCTAAGTTGCAAGCTTCCTGTTACTTCATAAAAGTTGATAAGACAAAGCCCTAACCTAATGTCTGCACCCAGCCCAGCAGGCTACGAGTTAGGTCTGTTCTGTTCACGATACATTTTCATGGTCCAAAATGGCACCCTAGCCTTCTCCATGCACTGCGGCCATCTGGACCTAGTCCTGGTCCTACTACAGGCTCCCTAGAGGAGATGAGTCCATTAGCCTGTCTCAGGCTTCCTCATCTCCTAGGAACTCACACAGCACAGGTCTAGCAGGTAAACTGAGACCCCAAAAGTAGTGTGGACACACCAAACTAGCCCTGCAACCAAATCCCCCACACTGTATTAACTGGCCGTATCTCATCTTCAGGTTGGTTCATACTGACCAAGTTAATACACATTTCTGTCTCCAGGCAGGATACCCACACAGGCACCCCATTTCTCCAGGCCCGTAGCTGCTCCAAATTCACCACGGTCTGGGGAGTCTATCCCCATTTAATCAGACTCCATATCACCTCCATCTATCTAGCCTTTCA